AACAGCCTCGCCAAGATGAGATTTCAACAGATCTTCTTAACCATCAATATGTTGATGGATCACACTACTTCTAGTCCTATCCTCCGTCAACTTGATATGGCCACCTCCATCAAACCAAGTGAATTAGCTAGCCCAAACAGATTTGGATCAAGTGGTGTGGTCTACCCAGATGCTATTCAACAATACAATCAGCGCCAAGAATATGCAGCCCAAATGGAAGCAATGGCAAAACACCTTGGTCCTCCAGGATATCCAATCCCTCACAGAAAAATGCAGGACAACGGTGATTCTGAAGGTTCTAATGTAAGGGAACCTCCATTACTGACTCCAAAACAAATGGAGGGAATTGCTAACATCACCAATCTGTCGTTCAAGTCAGACTTGGCATGGCCAATTTTTGGGGCAGTAGCAGGTATTGGCTTAGCAATTGGTGCTGGTATATGCTACCGGAAGTGTCAGCTCGAGACTATAAAATGAAGTTATTTAGACTTGAATTGAATGAAAACTTACTTTAAAAGTTACAAGTTTTAATTTTGTTGGCTTTGTTTCAGTACGTAAGATGACATTGTCTGAGATAAATTCAAGCCAGGAAGTTATTAGTTAGAAATTGAGTCAGTTTCAACCAACAACAGATATGTACTCACTGAATATTTAAATATTTCAGTCGTCTTCTACAGATGGGTAGGTTATTACACCTATCTCAGGGTGAGTCTAATTCTACTCAAGTCAATCTAAAGAGATAAAATTCTCTTTATCTCAAAGTAAGATTTCTGAATATTTTCGACTAAAGGTTTGAGAGAAATGAAGCTGGATCTAGCAACAATAAGTTCTTCAGAATGATTGATAAAAAGATGAATCTAAAAGATAACTGATAATAAACAAGCAAGCTTATGGAAAAGATATTACTACTAAGCTAGTAGATCAAATCCAGTTGAGAAGTAATCTACTTGAGTTTATGAAGTTTTCTTGTTAGAACAATTTTATTTAAAGTCTGAAAGTTTAGTGTTTTGATTATAAGATGATCCTCTCCTTTGTGGCTTGAGAATGGGTCTTTATTTATACCTTTTTCTGGTTTGAATTGCCTGGGTAGAGACTTAGATTCATCGTGTCTTTCTCTTTGTCAAGGGTCCTTCTGGGACCCTTTCATTTTGTTGATTTGAATGATGAAATACTAGTTTGGTTTTGAATTGTGTCATCTAGAATTGGACTTCAGGGTCTTTGGCCTGACTTGGTTGATTTCATTTTAATATGTAGGTTGTTCTGGTCTATGTTTTAGTTATTCTAGTTTTACCCTGCTTTGTGATTAGGTAGCAGGGGTCTTTTTATTTTATATCTACTCTTGAAACTTGAGTAGGAGGTTTTGTGTTCTTGTTGCAAAGGAAACTAGTGTAGGTAGTTTTCTTCTCAAGCCAGAATGCATTTTAATTTTTTGTTATTTTAAACATATGTATATTTTATAGCGTTATGTGGTTTTTCATCCTATTGGGGTACATTGTTGTATCCTCTAGGCTGACAGGAAGTATGTAACTTGGGATGAACAAAAGTGATGATGGAGGTTAATCTGGTGATGAAGTGTATGAGCCCCCACTTAATTTTACCCTCACAGATCTCTTTATTAAACTTTCTTTCAATTATTCTTTGTTGTGATATTGGACTTGTGTGTTGGTATTCAGCATTTTAACCTCAGTCTGAGGGACTTAGTTAAGTTAACATGAAAATCATCTGTGCTTGTGACCATTCATCTGTAGACCTTTCACAATATGTTTGCTGAATCCTCCATCATCATTGTTCAGCTTTCATGGCTAGCTTTGAGAAGATCACATTCTCATTGGTTAGTAAGACTTGATGTAGCTAGGGTGTGGTGGACACACAAACATCAATTTTGTTCAAGTTACTTTAAACAAATTAGGCATAACCAGTTACAGGGGTTATATCTGCTGTGCTAATGAACTTTTTACAATTTTCTAATCAGCCATTCTTGCAATGGCTGTAAGTACATCTGATATGAGAATGAATGTTTATTTTTATCAAAATGCTCATTGTGGTTGGTGCAAACCCTGGTGTTGTTTTTGACTAAGTTTTGTTTCTTTGCTGAATTTGAGAATGTACAGAGATTACAGAACTTGTAAACACACTTTTTGGTTAGTTTTAACTTTTGACCACTGTAGCAATGACCTTTATTCAAACAAAGTGGTCAATCATTCTCAAATGGGCTGTATTGTACCATCAAGTTTAGAAATGTTGTCCTATGATCTTGATACATTCAATAATCTGAACATATGATGTGGTAGGGTTTGAGTGCAATGGGGCATTCAACTGTAACTTAATCCCATCCATACCCTCCTTGAAGCTTACCATAGCTCATGAATCTATTCAATATGATTGGAAAGGGAAAACAGTCAAATGTTTTACAAGGAAATCATAATCGGGTTCAACTTGTAGAATTGTATAAATAAACCTACTAGAATTCCTTTCTTTTCTGATTCTTGGTTGAGATCATTGACACACAATAAATCATACTTGATGAGATATATTGAAGAACCCATGAGTGATGTCAGGGTGGCAAACTTTAAAGGGCACTGGTGAGGTCTAGTTCTCACTCAGTTAGATTCATGACTAAGTATTCCGCTGGGTACGCTGGATGTCTGTTGTTATATCTTATTCTAAAGTAAGAATATAAGAATGAAGGTGGGTAAATCACAAGCTCCTCAGGATGTTTAAAAGAAACACAATTCCAAGGCCCGCTGTAAGTTAACAGATGTAAGGTGGTCAACCCTTAGGCCTGGTTATAATCTCTGAGATACGAGATCTAGAGAAGCCTGCATCCAAAGACTAACAGGGATCTTGCCAACTTTGCATTGCAAGAACTGGGTAGTGACCAAGTAAATCTACATAGCTTTTAGGTACGTAGAAAGGTTCTAGATATAAACCAATAACATTTCATAATCAAAGCTATTAGCCGGAAAGTAGGTGAATACGATGGGACTAATGAATACTTGGAGTAGAGAAAATTATGGATTATAGTTTGAGATACTATGAAGGACAAAGCAACAATTAAAATTTAAGCAAGAAAGGGTAAAGTGGAACCGAGATTTAGATACTTGCGTAACTAATCCAGCTGGACTTTGGAACAGAGGATGGTCTGAAAAGATTTGTTTAAAGTATGATAAGGTGAGTCTCTTCACATCTTGGAGAGACTCTCCTCTATGTATATCATTGTGCTCCAATTTAAGGGAGACATTGGAGATACTTTTGCTTGGCGTATTCTTCTTAGTGCGTAAGTTTTAATTGATACATCTTCTCTACATGTATGTGATCAGTTCAATTTAGTTGTCAAGACTTGTCTCACTAGTATTTTGAATGTCAACAGAAGATTCTATGTAATCAATTTATTCTTGAGGATTATTGATTTGTTTGAATTTACTTCTTCTCAAATGTGAGAGAACGTGATCATATAATTTCACAAGTAACTTAGTTCATTGTAATCACCTCATCTCTACAATGCAAAGGCAAGCAGTATTCACTAGACCAATACATCCGGTATTCAACATGTCTTCCTTCAGAAGAGATTGTTGAAAGCATTTGGATTTCTTCTTTACCAAAGTAATTATCTTTTATGATTGGAAGGCTTTGAGATGACTGCCGAGTATAAGCAATGAAATGCTTTCTTTCAAAGCTATCCCAGAATACAAATAATTGTAGTACTTATGGCTCTTTGGTCAGTACAAAGAGCTTGAGTGCTGACAAGTGATGAATAAGTTTACAAACCATATAGCTGTTCCAAGAATGGTTAATTGGAAATTTTCAAAAAGCTCATCAGAACAGTAGATAAAACAACTATAACTGGTTTTTCCAGTTTTCTCTAGAATCAACTTAACCTCACCTGATGTGTGCATTGCCACAGCTTGACTATGTCAAATCCTACTGACTGATCAATGAGAAAAGGTTGTTCTCACTGCTAGCCATGAAAGCCACACAACAATCATAATAGGTATAGCAGATGTATTTCAAAAGATGTGAAATGAATGGTCACAAGGATGCATGATTGTCATTGGAGGATCCTATTCCTTCTATAGTGCTCAACTTTGTAAAGAGAAAATACTCAACAAAACCAACAGTATGGGTGTGTTCACTTAAGGAAATTCCAACCAGAAATCACATTCTGTTTACTTTTTAATGGAAAAATGAAGCTCCACCAAATAGCCACCTTAAATTTTGCAGAATGTGATTTCTCACCAGAAATTGCTTAAGTGAACGTGCCCTATGAGTTTTGTATGGCAGAGAATTCTTGAGAAAATAAATCAAGCTTTCTTGGAAAGGATGTGTATGTGATAGGTTGGATTGAATTGGATTATCTTGTTTATTATCTTTGGAAGAGATCAAATTGACTGTAATCTAATCTAGTTTACCACTTGATAACCAAAAAATCATTCTAAATTGACCAATAATTAAAACTTGCTATATAAACCATACCTTCTTGACTGATTATCTTCACATCAAACTATGAGTTGTTTTTGACTTGACTGAAGCCTTTTTACACTGTACAAACTTGATCAGATATATTTTATTTAAGAAACCTCTATAAACCTAAAAAAACAGTCAATAATTCTCGCCAAAAGTAATTGCTGCTAATCTTTAAACGATTTTTTTCTTTTTTTTGTGGTTTGATCTTATTGTAACAACTTTTATTAAAAAACCAATAAGTTTCTATGTACTGTCAGAAAATAAAATCATCTTGAGTTCAATTACTTCAAATAAAGAATGTACGTGAATGGAAAGAAAAAGAAAACTTCCAACCTTTTTTAAATTTACCATCGAAACTTGAAAAGAGTAAAGAAAAGCAGACATCAAAATGAATAGCTTGAAAGATGAATAGATAAGAAAAACAAACAGGATTTGATTACAAGATCTCAAGAAAACAATCACTCTTGGTCATCTGATTCTAATAAAATCCTCAAGCTTGATCTATACTCTATGTTTTTGAACCTGATGATGATGTATTAATCTTGCAGAGTAGTATACGTTTGATTATAGTATAGCAAAGGTTTAGATTGATGAAGAGTTTCAACATCGATGACTTTGATCACTTTAGCCAAAATCAACACCGATTTCACTTCTTTTTCCTTACTTGAATCTTCCATCAATTCAATCGTTTTCCAAATCGAACAAACCAATCTTCCCAAGCCGATCTGATCCCCAATAAGCTGTTTCTGATCATCATCCAAACCGATTTTGGTTTCTAAAGACGATCTAGGTTTAGAAAAACGTTTTGAAAGGGTAATAGATTGATGATCGTGATTTAAAAGATGTACATTGAAAGGATGATGATGGTTAAGTGAAATGAGATTAAATAATTTAGAAGGTAGTCTTAAAGAAAATGAGATTAATGGGATCGGATCTAATGAGATTGAAGTTAAGGATGAGATGGTTGCAGCATGAAATTCTTGATGGCAGTTGGTGGTGATGATGGTGACTGGATGTGATAGTTTTCTCATCATTAATCTTAGGTTTGTTCCAGTTTTGTCTTGGTTTGTTGGGATTGAAGTTCTTGGTGATGTTGAGATGGTTGATTGAGATCGATATGAGTTGATTTGATGGATTGATTTGAATCTGGTGATAGATTTCATCATCTCATTAATCTTGAAGTCGATTGAAGTTGGTCGAGTCACTGTGGATTCATTCAAATGCTATCCTGATGAGATGGGATTGAATACCCAATGGATTGGAAGTCAAGCTGGGCTCCGGTCACTATCCGGCGTGTTTTGCCCGATTCAGGCCCCGGACCGATGGTGCTCTGGTGTATCCGGACTCGTCGGAGATTATCCGACAGCATATTTTTCAACAGTACCATCCTTCAACACTCGGACCGGCTATCCGCCGGATAACCGGTGCTGTGACTGATTCTTTTTTTGTGAGGTCTATTTACCCATTCCCATCTTTGTAACCTTTGCATTTTGAGTTGACTGACACCTAATCTTCCAGGTGTACACAACTTTGATAGCTTTGCCAGCATAATCATCAAATATCTGAACCAGCATAACCTAATTGATAAGGTGAGCACTATGACAGCCAACAATGTCAGCACAAACTCTGCTATTGGTTGAGTCATTGAAAATTTGGACAAAATCACTTTTGATCACCTGACCCAGGTCCATGGTTGTGTATCATATGTTATGAACTTAGCTGTGGAAGATGGACTCAAGGAATTTGGCAAGGTGATTAATTCAGAAGAAGATGCTCCATCATAATTGATAGATTTGGGCCCCAATGTGACTCAAGTAAACCTCAAGACCATTTACAATTCAAGTCTGGTTACATGCAGTCAGTCCAGCCCTCAATGTGGCTAGCATTTTGAAAACAAGGTCAAGATGAGATGTGAAATTGCTGCTTTGATGAACCAGACTCAGCCTCCAATTTCCCCAAGACATGAAACTTCATCAACCAATCCTCCAGCTGCCCCAACAACCCCAAATGAACCTTGAGGCCTCAGTGTACTAGTCTTTGCTGTTTACACATTGAGGCTCTTTTATGTGTCAAAGATTGGCACTGGGTGTTTAGTCCCTTGAAACTTACTAGCCATGATGCTGAGGAGGATTTTGATTAGCTTTTCCCTTTTCTTGTTATCTGGTTATCATTATCAAGATATGTTATTTACAATCATATGAATACAAGCCAGCATGAGCCAACTACAAATTATATGAGTTCTCCGTCAGATATCCAAATGAGGTTGAGTTTTTTGGCCTCCACATCCGATAAAGAAACCGGCCACGGTATCCGGCTACCAGATGGCTTAGGGCCCTATGCGACGTCCGGATCCGACGGATGCTCCGTCAATACCCGACTCACGTCCGGACCCGGAGCACACCTCGCGCAAGTCGAACAAACTCACGGGTAATTTGAACTGATCGAATCTCTCCCTTCAACCATTTATTTACAACTTTTGATAATTCTTTAACCAAAAATGAACCAACTTCCATCATCATCAACTTCAACTTCAACTTCAAACCCAATCTCAATCCAATTACATCCAAAACCATTCTCATCAAATCAATGGAATCAATCTAAATCAATACAAATCAATTGGGATAAAAAACGAAATGGATTAGCACTCTCTATCATCTCATCTTCATCAATCCTCTCCAAACCAAATCAGAATCAAAAACTATCAATCTCAGAACAATCTATCTATTTAATCAATTCATTTCATTCGAATCCTTCACGTCGTTCAGTTTAGTCCAAAACCAAATTTTTATTTCAATTTCTTCTTCTTCCAGATTTCATTTATAACCATTACTAATTTGATTCTTTTTCTTATAGCTTATTACAAGATCTTTTGAAATCTTTAGTAGTTTACAAAAAGTTGTGGCTGTTTGTGAAGAAGAAGATCATTTGAAAAATCAACATCAGTTTAGTCAACCTTTTTTTCACATTTCATCCTTTGGTTTGACTCATTAATTTGCACTTTTTTTTCTCGTGTTTGCGTACTTTTGAATAGACTTCCATCTAGTTCTCAATTCAAATATTATTCTAGAATTGCTCATCAATATGTGATCAGTTTAAAAGATTATTTGAATCAATTAGAAGTAAGTTTTCTTAACCAATCACAAGTTTTTCTAATCAAAGAATTCGAAACTGATTGGTTTTTTTGGGGGGGGGGGTAAATACTAATAGCAAGAAGATGAAGAAAGTAATCCAGATGAAATCGATTTAGTGATTCAAATGATTGAATGTTTTAGTTTATTTGTTTTAGTTTTTGTTCCAGAAGATGGTAGAGGTGACGGTATCTTTTCTGAACAGTTTTTGGATTGGGTGAATCGAATCAATCCTCGTAAGCTTTCAATTCATCAACTCTTGATTTCTTTGAAATTGGATAAACCCAAACTTTTTTTTTTGGAAATTCATGGGGTTCTTTTTCCTTTGGTTTGCGCCTTTAGAACCACCTAAAGAAGAAGGTGAAGAACTTAGTAATCTTTCATTACCTTATGAACACGTTAATTTTTGGCCATACATACACGCGTCAGTCAGATTTACGAAAAAAACCATGAAATTGATCGCGTCAATCTATACCAAAGAAACTGATTCAACTTCGAAATCTTTCATAGTTGTTTAATTCGCGGACATTTAACTCAATCAACAGCCCTTTTAAAACCCTATACCAAAACCCAGAACCCAACTTTGAACCAATTAATGACCATCACGATCTCCTTAATCAACAAGACACCCAGATCCACCCAATTCTCACAAGAAAACTCATTTATCGAAGCGTTATATCAATTCAGACAATCAGTTGATCGAGTTTTATTAAATTTAGATCAAGAGATGGAAATGATTTTCAAATTAGAAGAAGAACGTAAAAAACAAGGAAACGAAAGTATGGATGAAGATGATTTGTTATATTTACAAGCTAGTTTGAAGATCTTATTGGAAATCTTATCAGGTGATGAGAATCGGGTTTCAGAAGCTTGTTATGATTGGAAAGAAGCACTTGGGGCTCATCTTTTATGGGTTTATCCTACTTGTAAACGTGATGGATTAGGGTAAAGTCCTTTTTTTTGAATGAATCCAGTTTTTCTTTTTCTAACTTCACTAATTCTTTTGTGGGGGGTTTCGGCATAGACCTGTGATTAAAACGGTGACAGAGAATTGGCCAATTGATCAAACTTCAATAACCGATCGATTAACCTCTTCGATCTTAACCGGTTCCACTCAAACTTTGATTCAAGAATCTCATTCACTTTCACCATGGTTATCATGTCATTTAATAGATTTGATAAGTAAATTAGGAATCTTGGAAGAAGAATCAGAAGAATCCGAATTAGAAAAGATGAGAGAATTTTATGTTTTTGAATATTTAGATGAGCTAAGTTTAGATCAAGGGTTATGGAGATTGATGATTGCTTATGCTGATACGACTAAGTTTGGGATTCATTGGATCAAGTCAATTTTGAGGAGATTGATTATTGATGATTCGATTGAAGAAGGAAATCAGGAGGAAGGAGAAGGGAAGAAGACAAAAGCTACAGTGAACGTTTTGGAATTTAAAGAGATTTGTGAAAGGTTTGGATTAGAAGATGAATTTTGTCGTTGTACAAAAGTGAGTCTTTCATTTCTTTCTCTTTCTAAAAATCAAATCATTTCCTCTTGCATTTTCATGACTCTGATTTTTTTGGTTTGGTTTGATAAGATTTTAACTAAAAGGTTAATTAAAGAAAGGAAATTTGGTTCGGCTATAGCGTATTCGATTAGATCTGGTGATTTGAAAATGATTAGAAGGATTACTGATTTACTTTTAATTGAATATATCAATGAAGGTAAACAAGCGTCCCCAAAGATCTTTCTTGTTTTCGAATTGAATTGAAGTCATACAAACGAGAAGAGAATGGAAGATTTTAAACTGATTTGATCTTTTTTTGATTTGATTTGGATTTGGATTTGGAAAAAATTAGGTCCAGAAGAATTTGCGAAATTAGTAGATGAAATTCCTTCATCTTTATTACATCCAATAGCACCTAAACTACGACCCAACTTATTTCAAAGCGGTCCATCAGATCAAGAATCAACTCATCATAATGATAATTTGATTTTCTTATCTAGGTATCGAGATTTACATTCGTTTTATTTAAAAGGAGATAAAAAGAAAGTGATTGAGATCGTGATGAATTTGTTGATTGGTCAAATCGCTCCTAAGGAATGGTGGTGTATTTTATTGATTGATCTTTTACCTTTATTAGAAGGTAATGTTCTCTTTCTTTCTTTCTTTCTTTCTGCTTTTTCTTTACACATTTTTGATGGATTTTCTTTTGGTTGGGTTGAATAGATGAAGAGATGTTGGTAAATGTAACAGATACATATGAATTATTAAGATGTTTAGAAGAGATCACATTGGGTTTAGAAGAATCAAATCAAACTCGAATTCGAATTGATTATTTGGTTTATTTGAAGATGATTTTGAAAAACCAAAGTGATGGTTCAAAAGAAATTGAAATCATTCGATATTCTTTAGCTAGGAATTTGTCTAGATGTTTAACTTTTAAATATTAATTTGGTTTTTAAAGAAGAAGAAGAAGGATTGATTTTATTTTTAATGTATGATTTTTTTAATTGAATAGATGGTTTGGTTTTTTTGGTTTTGGGTGGTTTGGTCAATTTGAAGGAATGATTTGTGGAATTAATTTTGGAAATGATTATTAAGTTCAGTTTAATTATTTAATCGAAACTTGAGAGGGTTTTTTCGGATCATCATTTTTTGAATTGTTGATTTTTTTCTATCATCTATCAATACCCATCATCATCCTTAGTATTGCCTTTCATCTTACCTGATAGCCTTCAAATTTAGGAAAGATGGTTCGTAATGAAGTGATGGTGAATGTATGTTGAGAACTTGAGGTATATGTTTGAATTGAGTCTGACGTCACACACTACATAGTGAATGTCCATTCGTTCTCTAATTCAAGGGAACAGGTAGAGAGGCTGCTCAAAGATTTTGGAAGATTTTTTTTGTAATTATCTGGATCCTGCCTAAGCTCCTGGATGACCCGTATATGTATGGATGAAAATTGAAATTCAGAATTCCTGCTCAGTTTCAATCCAGTTTTTTTCATTCCGCCGGCAGTGGCATGGAATGTGGAGTAAAGCTCAGAATCTTTTCCAATTGGTCAAGATTCAAGAAGGTCGAATTTACCGGTAATAGTAAGAGTATCCCTAGCCGTGACATAAATTCTTGCCGTATGGATCGGTCGACTCGCACGGAGAGTGAGAGAGAGTGGGGCATCAAAATAGATGATACTCTACCTGCAAATGGGAGAGCGCTTAACGATGGGACAGGATCCCTTGCCAGGTAAGTTGATCGAGACGACGTTCCCTCCTATATACATACATTCTTTTTCCGAGACGCTGATGTCCAGTGTCGAGTAGCGCTAGGCCTACGGTGACGGTGACAATGGAACACAACGCTTTTTCCATCTCCGTCTTAGGCGGTCTCGATCCGAGCATCCTACCTCAAGCCGGCTTGAATCGCTTCCTGTTGCCGGTGACGAGTTTCAATTTCAACAACCAAACAACTGCGAGATGATCAGGATCATCAAGCTCTACACATTTTGTCGATAAGTTGTTGATGCATGGCTCCAATACTACACTGGACCGCATTTTGATAATGCTATTTTTGGAATCCGTATCGGTTTGCAAATCTAAAACGATCGGTTAGACTTATTACCAACACCCAAACCCCGCCGCGGAAAACTGGGGCAGCGCTGCGGCAGCGCGGGGGTCCCGCCGCGTCCTCAGTCTACTGAACGCTCACTGGGATAAAACCGCGCCGGGGCCCAGTTTTTACTGAGGTCCAACCCGCCGCTGCCCCATTGAAGGTACCCCAGGGGGGACCCAGGGGCCCAGTTTGGCTCATATAGCCTAGACTGTACATATTCAACCCCTGACACGTCCAATTGTTAGTTCAAACTTCAGATGAACAGTCACAACTCGTGTTTTCACAGAGGTTATCTAAAGGTACAAAATACCAAACTTGAAACCTCCGACAGGACGTGTGGGCTATAGTAAAAGAGGCACTCGTTGTTGAGCTGATTGGGCTCTGTCGTGTCGTGCGGTGGGACAGAAATTCTGCGCGGCGGACCGCTGGCAGCATGTTGACCTGTTTGACGTGAAGCTGGGGCTTTGAGGCGACTTGTAGTTGATTCTCATCATAAAACTCACTCATACCACCCTCAACATCCTCTAAGCTTTCCCAAACAATATGGCGCTCATTCAGAAACGCCATATCCGTTACCAGACTGAAGAGTTTAGGTACTCCACATTCATCTTTATTGAATGTATGTAGGGATCGATCCTCTAGTTCAGCCTGCGCGAGACTTTGAGAGATTGCATGACCCTCCAGCATTGTCTCATGGGAGTAATTGGGGTCCATTTGGTCGGGTGGAGGCGGTAGAGGAGGGTGAAGAGGAGCAGGTGGCGCAGGTGAGATGACCGGGTGCCGATACAAGACTGAAAGATGTGAATTTCATAACAAAGCAGTGAGTGAATCAGGAGCCAAACCGGATACGAGTTGAAAGTGTCCAAAGAAAGATAGCTGAGTACTGCTGGTATCAAAAAACCGATGTATCACACAAGCTAAAGGTCATAGAAATTCGCATCAAAATCAGTCAACAAAGGTCAAAGGTTCTTAACCGTCAACAGAGGGTCGCTTACTATCATGAATAGCATTTTTCTATTCTGTTGTCGTCTCTCGATCAACTTTGTCAGATTGAGGGTTTTCAAGCAGGTCTTTTTCTTTTTGGCATTAATCTCATTTTTTCAAATTTAGGGAAATAAAACCCCAGTCTGCGGCGCGCTGCGATGGTCTCAAGCGCGCCGCGGTCCCCTTGAGATTTTTTCTCACTGCGGCAGCGCTGCGGTGAGGTCCCCGTAAAACTGGGGTCGATCGCACCGCTGCCTCCGTGGACCAAAAATCCGCCACGCTGCGGCGGGGTTTGGGTGTTGTTATTACTCGTCGGTCTATCGATATCTATCATCCCAGGTTCAAAATACAAAATCCTTGATTAATCTCAAGTGATCGCGCAGGCGATTTTAGGTAAGATTTAGGAATTTGACAAACTGTGATACGAGCAAAACATGATTGCTCAGTTGATTGGTAGTAGATCTCAACTAGAGGGATTAATACTCATAATGGAACTGGTCTGTGATATCCGGATGAGACTTACCCTCAAATTCATTCAAAAACGAACCCTACGATTATATAATGGTCAAGGGATCGCGAGATGTTCCCTCCTCCAAACCGAAAACGCCACCCTGAACTCTTCCCGGTGGCAAAGCCTCCGTAGGTCTTCACGCTGCGAGCATTGGCCTTTTGAGAATATCATCTTTTCGGACAAGAAATACAACCTCACTTAGTTACTAGAACATCATAATCCTTTGTAAGTATAAATATCTCAGCTAGCCACGATCCTCATCATTAAGTTCAGATAACGTCAAAGCAGTGACTAAGGAATTTTATATTTCGTTGGCAGGACTCTAAAACAAATTTGAGGTTGATTTCCAAGATGGTCAAGATCACATGGACAACAGTCTTTCAAGCAGTGATAGTGTTACTGAATCACTCAGATGTGATTGCTGTTCCAATGACGCCTTGGAATGCGGAGGCGAGTGCACCAATGGTGCCGGAGGTGTATCATAATGGCCTCACGAATCGGAAGACCATGAACTTTAAACAAGTCGATCGAGAGTTCACATCCACTTACACCAGCCCTCCACCTACCCAGGTTATCAATAGAAGAATACCAAATGAAGCCCAATTGCACTCAATCAAACATGCCTTGACAAACAAGCAGACGGGACAGCGCTATCGAGTAGATACTTATGGCAATTTGACTGAAGATCCAAAAGACGCCTGTGATCCAACTCATTTCTGTGGGAAGATGAAGTTTTATGATGAGGAAGGAGCTCTATTACACGAAAGTGGCTGTTGTCATCTTAACAAGTCGGTCGCAGGAGTCAGGAATTTAAACTCTGCTGAGACATTGATTTGTTGTAGCCTTTCCCCTGGGTGTTTGTGTGCCGCTCAGCTTTGTAAAACTGCCTGCAAATGTCCATGTTGAAGCTATATATACTTATGCAAGGTGAATTATCTATGTGCTTCAAATGTGTGTGTGAATTGATATGTTGATACAGAGATGTCCATCTTCTATCTTCTTCAATTTTCAAACTCTGTTTTCAAATGATATCCTTCCTGATCAATCATTCTACTCAACAACCTCACACCTCCACTACACATCTTAGTGTAACTGAATCAGCGACTGCCTGTTTTTCACTATCTGTTCCTATCTTTCTTCTCAATTGGTCTGGCCCTTTTGGAACCCATGACTCATATTTATCAAACCACTCACACCTTCACTTAACATATTGTGGTACACAACTCCATCTCTGTTTTCAAGATCTAAGGAGTTCTGAAATGTTCTGCTCATATAACCTCATGCATATCGAATTGATCAACTCTCAGTAAGAATAATGAGTCCGTAGATCAAATGAAGTCAGGGAAAAAGTTCAATCCTAGGTCTAGAGGTTTACCAGAACTGCTTTGCTGTACTACAGATTTCTTCCCCTTTGATTGCAGATTGGAGTCACTCCCAACACAAGCTCTGCTCTCCTATAACCTATGATAAAGATTCAATTCCTATGCGATATTTTGGGGGGCACTATAAATTCAGAGAGCAATGCATATCTCCAACTCTTCTGCTATTATCAAATCTCATGTTGTATATAGTGCCTGAAAGCACAGTCAGGTAGGTTTTTTGTTTGTTTGAGAAGTATTTTATTTCACATGTATCATACACAAAAGCAGAGTGGGGATTTGATGGTCTGATTGATCTGCCTGACTCTAAAAAGGAAAAAAAAGAAGAAAATAACCATTCAGAATTTTTGAAGATGATCAGAGGCAGAGAATATCAAATTTACCAAAAGATTGGTGTAGCTTTCTTGTTTTGATTGAATTTGTATTGACACATGTTAGTAAATTGTTTAGGTGGATCTTTCTTGCATGTTCTATAATATAGGAAGGCTTTAGAGGACACAGTAGTGGTTCTATAAAGCTTGTTTGCACCATCAGGTGCCATGTCACTATGAGTGCCCATTTTGTGAAGTGGTGCTATGGACCCTCTTAGCACAACAATAATTTTCTGCAGAGTATGGGTCCAAACCCTGCTATCTGGCAAGAGAATATTTATAGCTTAGCTTAGAAAACTGCTATGTATACACCAAAACAAATGGCGCAGGCAGATGGTGCACTACACTACCTCATTTTGGATGGAGTGCAGTGGGATTTTCACTGCTATCCCTCACAGAAATGTCCCCTGTGCTTAAAATGATTTATGTTAGTGTAAAAAATCCATGCTTATGTTTTGCTAGGGTATTTGGATGATCATGTATTCAAGGCCATGTCACTTTACTTTTCCTTTGCAGACTACATTAATTGTCCAGTCAATGCTATGCCACTGCTCCTTTTAATTGTGCATTTATAATGCTAGCCCTGGCCCAATATCTCCATCTTCATCTCCACTAGCCACTATTCTCCACAATACTCCATAACCAAAATGCAGTCTTTCCAAAAACTGAAGCCAAGGTGTTATAGGTCACTCATGTAACGGACGTGAAAGGAGTGTCACATGTCACACTTTGAACTCTCATTATAAGCTTGTATTACGTCATGATTGTATTGCTCCTCATCTGACAATCATCATAACAAACTGGTTGCTTGGTATTCTCATTCCTCCATTCCCTTGACAAGCCCCTCTGTGAGAGTAGTCCATAACACAAGGCTGCAACTTGAGGTATTGAGTTGCCTGTAGGCTTTTCTAAAACTTGATGTTGACTTTTTAGCATGATTATAACTGGATTTTTGATCTGGAAATGGTTTATTTTCAAGCTTTTACCTGTACAAAAACCTATATTCTGGATCTTAAAAGTGGGCTAGCAATTGATTTGAATGGATGCTTGACTTGTATTTTTTCCTTGGACTTATGCCCAATGCATTGTTTTAATCTTTTGCAATACTTGCATGGTTTCTTTTCCCATCTCCTGCAAATGTGGCCATCCCTAATCAAGACAATTTGAATTTTTAAATAACATCTTTTTTCAATTTAGGAGATCATTCATAGTTCAACTCAAGTTGGAGTCAGAAGAGGAGATTGAAATTAATTTTGTGACTTGAAAGCAGGAATACCACTAGGAACAAGAGTGGCCAAAAATGATTAAAATGATCAATTTCACAGCTTAAATCACATCATATATTTGTAATAATCTCATCATAGGATTACATCAGTGGGATTTTGAGGGATTCTGTCAAAATTTGTTGATTTTTGAGAGCTTTTTACCATTGTTGGGTGTTGGTAAAGATGTCACATAGTCACAGGGGCCAAAACAAGAGCTCACATAGTGGTGAGCATGAAAAGCCTTCCATATTTGTTCAAAAAACAATCATTTCCATATGTCCTTTCATGTCACAATTTTTTGTTGTGTTCAGGTGATCAGCATGCAAAATTTCCATCTTGCTCAAGTTTGCTCAAGCATGCTCATCTTCATCTTCATTGAGCATTCTAAATGAGCATTCCTTGAGCATAGATGAGTACTCAGGGATCAGCTGACACACCTCCACATACTCAGAATTGTGGCCATTATAATCAAGCCTTTGAAAGAAAAAAACATATGTAAACATGTCTACATATGTATCAAGGTTATTACTGATGACGGAATTCTCTTGATTCCCATAATACACAAGCCCTTATTTTACTTTCCTAAAAACCTGTTTTGCAAAACAGGACAGGCGACGGGGCCGGACTCTTATCAGATGGTGATTTGTATTTTGAGGATTCAACAAGCGCATTCCACCACAATCCAACCCAATTCAACCCTTCATCATAGTGCCATCAACATATAAAGCAGCTCAAATATACACCAATCAAGAAGATAATCACCTCGTCTGATTTTGTAGATAACACATAAATCTCCCTCGGCAAGGTCCCCGTATTTTGGTTCGACAGAATCTGTGAGAATCATCTTCAAACCGAATGTGGCACCCGTTGGTGCAAAACTTGATCCAACATCAGCATACAGCAACATGAAGAAAAAAACACGATCTCAAGTACATGATATTCCGATTGTCTTTGAATTAAAGTCAAATCTCATGATTTTTTCTGTACTTGCCATGACATCAACCTAGGTACCAGCTCCTCACAATGTACGCGTCTCTACCACGCCCGGCGTGATTGTGAGCGAGTTACAATCCAAGAACAATATGCTATCCTCGGATTCGTCTCCTATGGTACTTACGGAAAGGTATACAAAGGACAGCCCAGAGCACTAGCCAATTTGCATCTTCCTGGACAGAATCCTAAAGAAGCGCGAGGAGAACTAGTAGTGATCAAGAAATCCTAAGAGCATCTCCAATGTGGCTGAATCCGAATAGATGTACAGCTCAGTATTTCCCTCGGCTGGACAGCTGTAATTTTTTTCAGGTGACAGCGCCCTGCAACGCACAACTGAACTTCTTTCCCAATTCCTCATAGGGTTCATTTGAGGTTGAACCCCCGTCACCATATGTCTTCATCTACGTAATTGGTCGATCGCACCTATTGCGTTCCACACAATACATGTGATTGATTGCGCTCACCTCACGTAAAGAAAGAGAAAGGTAGTCCACGGATGTATGAATTTCTTTATTTTTGGCCCAATAGTCGTTGGGATACTGGGATTCAGATTATTCGGCCAGGTCAGCAAATTTGCTGACCTGAGCCTGGGAACGTGTCATTTCCGAAAAAACGAGTTCACACGGGAGGTTCCATGTGGGAACACGACCTCGGCGTTGGATGAGGTTTGTCTGAATAACTCCAATACAGGTTACGTTTCTGACAGAAACGTAACATTTAGTCATTCAGATTCGGGAGCATTGGAGATGCTCTAACCAGGTCCGAAGACAGAAAGAAAAATAACGCAGCCAAGAGTTAAAGAACACAGCGCAGCACGAGAATAACAAATAGGAGCACATGTAGACATATCAAAAGATCACACATCACAACAGACAAAACAAAATCAAATGAAATAAAAAGAGAACATTATTCTCGTCAACCAACACATTCCTAAAATCTCAAACTTCAAGTTCAAAACTTCAAACCTCAACTTCAAAGTTTGAACTTCACATCTGCCTTTTGAACCCCAAATCAATTATGAATTTGTAAATCTTCAATCATTTTTTGATAAAGTTGTACACTTGTTTGAAATTTACGCTTGAACTTGAGCAACTTGAGCATCTCAATCTTTTTGGATGCAAGCATGAGGAGGTGGAGGAGGTGTGTGACAGTGAGGTTTATCAAACAAGAAGTCAAAGACCATTTGGACATAATGCTGCTGTTAATCATTGTCATTTGAAGACTCCAAAAGGGCATTGATTGGTTTTTTAAAGAACTTGGAGCAAGCATTTGATGGATGTTTTTTGGATGAAAGTTATGAGAAATAAGATATTTCCTTTCAAAATCATACCACTGTGAATCAGGTTGATTCACAGTGATTTATTGTTGGTAAATCATGTGTTACATCATCCCATAGTGGATTTCATGTGTTTACCAACTTTGGTAAAACACGCATGATTAAATTTTGCGCTCAGGAACACAAAATCTACGATAAATCACCCTCACCATAGTGGGTGCTCTAACAAACTAGGAATTGGGACCATAACAAAAATAAGAAGAAACCAGTTAACAACAACACTTGCATTCAATTCTTAAATAGCAAGATTTGACTTACTTCTCTTACCAAAGATGAGAAAGAGAAGTAAAAATTTAGACAGCAATAACACACATATATATCTATTTGATCTTATCAAAACTTGTTGGGGTGGATGATAATGATTAATCTACCACTTTGATTTACCACCTCTGGTTCCTTGTGTCATTTTCAATCTTCTAACTAATGTCTCCTTACTGAACTCTTTTCATCTCGTCAATTGAATACTTCAACAAGTACCATTCCCAGTTTTACCTTAGCTCAAAACATCCTGATATTAGAACTAACATTTTAAAACTCACAGGCTAGAATTTATCTCAATAGAAGCTCACTTTTTCATTGTAACAAAGCCTACAACTTGCTTGGTTATACCTTTTCAAGTAAGCATTATTCAATTAAAACGTCATTTCATAGAGTTCAGCTGACAGAAGTTTATCAGGTGCTTTTTACTTTTAAAAACTTGTGCTTTTTGGTCTTGTTGAACAATTCAAGTACTTTGCACTTGTTCCTTATCAGTACTCAATTTGTCAGAAGTTATTTTTTAATTGTCTTGCTTTATAAAGGCAGTCCTTAGACATCTTTTACTAGTTGATTTTAGTAGATTATCCCCTTCCAGCTCTGTATACACCTTATTGGGTTATAAGTTCTACAGCGGCTTGCTGTCAATTATTTTGTGGTATTTCTAAATAAAATTTTGCTCTCACAAGCTATTCCTGCAGTAAACCTGCTAAGTTAACACTATATAGTGGCAATACAGCTTACATATCCAGATATTGTGCTACAAAGTGATGCAGTAGAAATAGGTTCAGGAAGGTATCTCTGAGGTTCATACACTGTATAGTGGTCAAACACTGGCCCTGGTGGATTCCACAGTTGTGCCTCTGCAATGGGATTCTTTGCACTGGTTTGCGGAGTGGAGGCAGTGGCACCATCAAAAATGGAGGTCAGATTAGTGGTATCAATTTTTTTTGCTAATTTTCTACAAACTTTATTGGCTGTAGAATGGTTGCTATAGAGTGCTTCTGGTATTGGCTAGGATGAATAGAAAACCCTTCAGGTACTCTAGATTGTGGTGATCATTTTACATTACTCCATTCCTTTGTTTCACTAAATGATTCAACAGAACACTTCCAAAAAGTGTCAAAATTGTTGAATATGCAATACCAAGACTTCTGTCACACATGAAAATATGGTGTACACTTTTCCTGTCTCAGAGACAGGGCACACCTGTAGTCACATTGATCATGCTGGTACCCCGGTCCACCACATCTACTAGTACCATATTAGACTCTCTGGGCTAAAGAAGATGCCTCAGGTTCAAAAAACAGAGGGCTTTGATGATATCCACATGGTCTGAAGCAATTACCATCCGAGGGCACCGGTGCCGTGTGTACCGGGTTCAGTTATATAGACACCTCGGATTATGATCCGACACATTTTTTGTCGGCAGTTAGAGTCTGCTGTCCGGGTCGGACTCCAGTCATGTTCGGATTCGACGGGGATTTGATAGTGAATCTGAAAGTGTCTTGTTTGGTTTTTCTTTTTAATAATTTTATTTTTCAGAACTCAACGTGATGGCAATCAACCAACAAGAACTTCAAAGTCAAACTATCAATGGTCATTCTGATTTAAATCCAATCGCCATCTCAGAAATCGATTCGGTTCTATCAATGGAAGTCAAGATCGATCAATTAGATGACTTCGTTTGGGAAGAAGGTAATGTGATCGATGCTTTAACATCCATCCTTAAGGTTGTTACTGAAACTTCATGACATTTTGATAAAGTAGAATATCAAGAAATTTTAAACTCATTCACTTCAACCGGTTTACCTAATCCAAAACATTCACAAATCAATTCAACTCTGATTTTGAAAATCATTTTATCAAATTTAAAATTAATCATTCAAAATTATTTAAGATTTGGAGAAAGAATTTTGATCGATGCAAAAGATGAAGTAGGACATCATAGTGGAAATTGGAATCCAAATGATACACAAAACAATTTAAATCAAATTACAACCAACTTATTAAATTTTAGTTCACAATCAACAGATCAAGAATCAATCAACAATCGTCATTTAAATCAATTATCAATAGAAGAATTTAATCGAATTCAAAATATTCCATTTACAATTCAAAGATTATCAGAATTGGTTTCAGTACCACAATTAAGACCGACTCCAAATGATCCAAAATTAGGTATCCATCCACATTATTTAACATTACCTAAATATTTGAGAGCTATACAAAGAGTCCTATCTGTTACTTCTCCCATCACTTATTATTCAATAAACACCTTTACATTACCAGATCTAACTGAACCTGAACCAAACCCAACCAATTTATTAAACGGATCACAAATCTCTTCTAATCTGAATGGAGATTTGAATAGTTCAAACATGATGAATCCGACAGTCAGACCAACAGCAATAAGACAACGACGGCCATCCACCTCAACACCCATCACACCAGTTCTTTCCCCAATCCAATGGTTAATCAACGCACCACTTGTCACAGCAGATCCTTCTAGATCAAGACAAAGTAGTCCTTTAATTAGCTTATCACCAACTGATGAAAGACCAATCACACCTCCTTTAGGAACTCATCCAATCTCTTTGAAACATAATGATCATTTGAATTCGGGTCCTAGAATTGATGAAGTTGATATGGGTAATGGAAATGGGGATGAAATGTTGGATGATCCAGTTGAACTTAGTAATACTGATTCTGGTCATCAAAATTCTAATAATGAAAAAATTGATGAAGATGATCAAATGAAAGAGAATGATCTTAAAGAATGAAGAAAAAGACTGGGGTATGGATTTATGGAATGTCAAGAAATCAGTTTGAGAATTTGATTCTTTTTAAGTTTAAGAAACTAATTTTATAATTTTATAATTTATTTCTTTTTGATTTATTCAAGGTTTGTAAAAACAGAAAAGATTTCAACTTTGAGAAAACAAAAGTTTGTTTTTTGAATGAAAGGATGTTTTGATTTCTAGATTTAGATTCACAGAACAAGATATCCAAAGTGATTTGAAAATTGCAGAAAATATGTTATGATTGTTATTTGTAATTTCCAAAATGGAACGAATTGAATGAATGAATTGATGAATGCAAGAATAAACCAATGGATGAAGTATTCATGACAATTATCTTTGAAGTCTGTTTTGATTTCAACATTCTAACGTTGAAAATGAGTCAACAGTCACAATCTTCATATTTCTTCATTGAGATCTCATTTTGAAATGGCCTTCCTTTCAAACCTGATCTTGTACGGCTAATCAAGCTATGAAATAAACTAGTGGGTGTATCAGCAGATTCACACAAAAAGGTAAAATGAGGTAAATAGATGATACCTCCTGATCATATATTTATATCAAAGCTCAAATATGCATATTCACAGTGCATGCGTGGGCTTCCCCAGGCAAGCAAGCCCTTGTATGCTTGAGGCCCCCCAACCTTTAGGGTGCCCTCCACGGGCAAAGTGATTTTGATAAGGATGTATATGTAATCACAAAGAAATCCATTTCTTTTGAATATGATGAAACTATCTCATACAACAGAAGTTGAATTACACTTCTTTAACTACTTCCTTCCAAGACCATTCTGGAAGTTCTCTTGATAATTTTTCTTGATCATTCATCAAATTATGTTTTGTTTTTTTGGATATTGTACTTAGCCAATTTTTATTGATTTGAAAAGAAGAATCAAAGACAGAAACTGGAGTTTTGTTGGGTATGATTGATGAGTTGTATGATGTCACATAAGATGAGGAGACATGTTATAAAATCTGAGATATCTTGGTAAAGAGATCATCAATCAATGGCATATACCAGATGATGAACAACATATCTTGGGGCCATAATAAGTGGAGTCTTTTTGTTTGCTCTCGGAATCACCCAATTGCAAACCATGACAGCTTGGAGCTCAGGGTCGGGTGCTGGGTTGATCCGGCCATGCTACCACCCGGAGCCGAGCCCGAGTTCCATGTTCCATAAGTCCCGAGCTCTTCCTGCAATATCAAAACCTCGATCGAATTCAACTCATTTGACAATATCACCGCAAAAACAATCTCTCATCAAGATGGCTTCAAGTGGGTTAAACCTTGCACAAAGACTTAGAGCTGCTAGTGCTTATCGGGTGAGCTCATAATGGTTTTGTTGCTTTGACTAAACCTGACCCTTTCAATATATGACTGACTTAAAATTTCACATTTTCCTTTGAAAACAAAAATTAACCCAATCAATCCCTCTTACGTTCAACCTTTTTTATTCGAAATGAAAAAAAAACCTCGAATGGAAAGACAATTCTTAGATCAGCTAGATTTACATTTACTGGAGATAAACCAACTCTTTCACAATTCACATCTAAAACCAAAACTTTATTTATCAATTCAATTTTAAATAATCAAAATAATTTTAATGAAGAAATAGATGGAGTACTTGAAGTTTCTAGGTACCTTCGAAGAAATATCGTTCAAGGAAAACATTCGGATGATGGAAAACGGTTAGGTAGGAGTTTTATGATAATGTCTTATGAAAATTCACAATCATAGGTCGCCTAACTGACTTTTAAATCTTTGTGGATTTGAATCTCAAATAAATCAAACTCGAAAAAACAATAAAAGTGCTTCGTATGACGAAAGAAACTGAATTGGGAGACAATGAATCAATCAAAAACCCGAAACCATCCGGTTCTTTCTCAGCTTCCGGGTGTTGCTCTTCGTCGCCAACATCATCGCCACCACCCAAACTTAGTCCTGCTGCCATAGAACGTAGAGAACAGCGTAGAAGGAGGCGGGAAGCATTGAACGCGGAATAATTAGCGTACCAGTCGTCGGTTTATGGTCTGGCTCTCGGGATTGAAGTTATGAGACATTGCATGACCTTCGATTGTAACATCGAGAATTCGATGTGCTATCTATTCTTTAACTGCTTTGGCTCTTCCTTCCTCGCTATGGAGCTGTAATAGAATGTAGACTTATCAATAACCCCCAACTGGAAATTTAAACTTCAGGCCAGATGATAATAGGATAAACCCTGTATATAAATTCAAAGTCCACTTGTATGATTTCCAGATCAGTGAGAGATAGAGATATATGTTCATTGAATCGCCAGGGACAAAGGAAACCAAAGGTTGAAACTACTAGATAGTTGAAGTCCCTTCCAAAATCATTTCATGCTCCTGTCCGACTCCCTCACACTGAATCATAGTTGGAACATCTTGTATTGAGTTCTCAAGAACAGTTGACCCTTGTAATTGGTTTGAGGAATGATGTGAGGTCTGAGAGATTTGCCATTGGTCTCATGAGCAATCGAGACCTTCACCCGTGTGAGATAGAGGCAGAGGATTGTTACAACAGAAAAGCGAAAGGTGGGTTTTCTTTCATGGAATTCACTCGAGTCAGGAGTTGGATTTCAGTACGCCCTGTGAGTATCCTTTGGGTGATTTAAGCCTTTGCTTAGCGACAGAGATGATTGGACAACGGAAAATTGGTCAAAACCTCCTAATTCATACCTCTTTTTTTGTTTTTTTGAGGCCATTAATTCCTGTTTCATCCCTAACCTAAAAGCCAGGTTTTTAAGAGTTTTAGAAATTAATTCCCCCACATCCCTAACATTGGAAAGCTGGTTTTGGAGAATTTTTGGGGACTTCAATTTTGTTTCTGGAACATTGGAAAAGGCAAATAATCTTGACGTGATTCTTGTACCTAGATCAGCTATTTCAATGTACAAAATTTGTTTCAACAGGGGTGAATACTCCTCAGAGTAAAGGGGAGTCAGAAAAAATTGATTTTTGAATGAATGCAAGCTATGTCCCTTGTGCACAACTCAACTTGCATATGAGCAACTTGTGTAAACCCTTGTTGAATGTGAATTTCTGTTTGTTCCTTTCAAGCTTAATGGGGAAATAACTTATGAAATGGGATATTAATCATGCTGTTCATTCATGGTACATCAGTATCATCTGAGAGGTAGATTTTTGTCCAACCGAGATTCATTCCTCCACATCCCTAACATGTGACCAGGACCCGGGCGGATGATTCCTTTTTCATCCCTAACATAGCAAAAATTGGAGGGTCTGATTCATTCCTTTTTCATCCCTAGGGTTTATAGGACTTATCCGGGGTCCTGGTGCGCTCAGCTGCAGCATTCATGGATAGATGTCAACTTGGACTATTTGGTTTTACAAACTTGTGATGGCCAATATCACGAGCACATCAGAACTAGCTACTCAGCAACGAAGAGTTTGATGAAGAGGATATAAAACACTGAGATGCAATACAATACTTAAAGTACATCCATTCATCTCCATTTCTTCAAACGATGATCCTAACTCATGATCATGCAATGCAATCAATCTCGCAACATCTTACTCAATCTTGACCAATATCGTGGTGTAAACACCAAACCAAGGAGCATCGAAGTAGTCGTCAGTCTAAACATCCACTTTATGATCTTGCTCTGTCGATCTTCGCGCTTAACTACTTCGCTGTAATTCAAGTCGGGTCGAAAAGTGACCATGGTACTGTGGGGGACGATCTATCAGTATTTCTAATCAAGACAACCACACAATGAAGAGAAAGAAAGCTCAACTAGAGAGGTAACCATTTTCCTCTCAGAAACCAGCTTTTGGCTAGGAATCCATCCAAGGCTTTTCTCATCACGTAATCGATACGAGTCACTTTATCCCGCATCTCAATATAATTTCCCATTGCCAAATCACAAATGGCAACCAAATCCTGGTGACGAGTGGAACTGTATTTTTCCAAGACTTCTTCAAGGGATAAAGAACGATTATCCAAGAGTTGACTTAATTTCCTGACATCTTCTAACCCACAATTCATGCCCTGACCTGAAATAGTCAGATAAACTCGTAAATAAACATAAAACCAAATGTTATGCAAGGGAGACACTTGACTTGCCATAAAATGGGACCATAGAGTGAGCAGCATCACCCAATATGAGGGCTTTATCTTTGTAATGATACGGCGTGCACTGAGGGGTACAATGCAGAATGTCAGACTTTATAGATACTAAGCGCGCTTTGATGAACCAAATTCGAACTTCTCAATACTGGAACAAGTTGAGGGAGCAAAGGTACCAACCTTTATTGTCAATAAGCTGCCCCTTGGATTCTCCTGAAAACACCGAATCAATTCAGATTGGTCCATGATTCCTAGTGCATCAGGAAAATGTGTTTCAAAGAATTGAATAATTTTCTTCTCTTCCTGAGGCGATTTAGGAGGCTCGAGTTGATCGAAAACTCCTGTGAATGGAGCAAAGAGTGTACATGTGAAGGATTTGTCCTATAAAATATAGAACCAAAATCATCATAATCAACTCATCGGCGCCAAAGGTAATCGTAAAGGGATTGGAATGTCGCTTTACTTGGTTAGGTAAAGCTATCAACATGAAGGAATGACGTGGCCAGATATGCAAGTGATGCGGGTCCAGCGCAAAAGTTGGTTCTCCAGTCACTTCATCTTTTCCAGGTGGAATTGATAATTCGAGATACAGATCATCGATGTATTCTTGGCTGAAGTCGACCCTGCGTTGAATCAAAGTCAGTTCAATCAACTTGTGTTGGTTGCTGACCAGCTCCAGAGTTGCGTACCTACTCCGCCTCATGATTTGCTCCCTGACTTTGCTATATGATCCATCTGCTCCTATAGTCAGATCCGCTTTGACATGAACTTCTTCTTGATTCTTCGAATTGCGAAAGTACAGCGATCTCTCATCAAAATCAGCTCGAACAAGCTGGTGGCAAAAGTGAATGTTGATGTTGCTTCTCTTGCTGGCCTCTTTCAGCAAAGATTGATTCAAGAGATTTCTGTCGATTGAGTTGATCCTCTATTTTCAATGTGAATCAACCATCAACTTTTCACTATCATTCAACGAGCGATATAAGAGCTTTTACCTCTCCATCCAACCCGTATGGTTGAGAGTTTAACCCGCCCTCCGGACTATGAATCATCCTTCCTTTCATAGGTATAACTTGCTGCAATAATCTATCGACCATATCAGAGTCAATTGATCTGATTGCTTCAATCCCGCGAGCTGAAAATGCCAAGTTGATCGATCTAGCTCTTGTGGGAAGATTAGAAGGTATCCTGAAATCTATATCCGCCGAACAAAATCAATCAATCCATTGGCGCAGGTGTTTGTTAATGGTCAATTTATATGCGGACCTTCTCTGGCTTCGTAAATGTCCACCGACCATCCACGACTTTCGAGCATACATGCTGCGAGGCATCCTACCAATCCTGCTCCAACTACTGCAGCGTGAGGATTTGAGCTCATAACTCTTGAGTGAGCAAAAGTGTGTTGATGACTATCATCTGAGACTGCGGTGTCTTGGAGAGCATTTTAACTTCAGTGTTTCTCGTCGGACTCGGCCGATCTCAAGACGTGGTACCCCGGGTGAGTGGTGACCCTCAGCCTTTCGACGGCCACCGGCTGAGAGTGCGGATACAGCCCGATGTATGTACCGCTTCTCATGCAGCGGGGACTCACATACAGTACGGGGAATCGAGGATTCGAGAGGCCGTACCGATGCATACCGTACCGCTGTAGCTTCGGCCAGATGCATTTTTTGACGGATCTTCATCCAACGCCGACGCGTCGGATGGCTTGACTTGAGAGATGCGTCTTCATTCAACATGGCGTGTTCTAATTTCTATCCTTATCTATCAATTGGGGTCTCTTTCATCGGGTGTAGAAATGCGCTTGAGTAAGAATTGCTGATATGCCGTACGTCTCTAAAGGAGATGTTCATTTACAACATTGTGGCTGGCTTCCTATCATTAAAGTCTCGTCCATCTCCATCGCTCGCTGGGGTTCATCGATAGAACAGACTCTGAGCATCGCCACACTGTCCTGCAAGGAGGGTCAGCAATCATGAACGCTTAGAAATCCAGTATTCCCCATGATAATGAAGCGCCTTACTCATCCGAGCTGGCCGAGTACTTCCAGGGCTTCTTGGCATTGAATGTGCCTCTATTCCGTTATGCATTTCTTTCACGATTTTCTCGGTTGGACTTGCATACACAGGAGTGCGAGCAGGACAATTTCAGGCCGTGGCATACCAAACGGAATCTGGGCCAACAGGTCACACCACGCGCCTTGACTTTAAACACGAGTCATGCCAAACATGTGACTTGGTGCAAAATGTTCCTTCCAACTGACCGCTGGCATTGCGCGAGAATGAACAATGAAGCATGCATATTGACCAAGTGAAACAAAACGTATAAAGCGATAGGCTTTGTCTCTTTCCTGTCCATCATACTTCATCGACAGCTTCATCTCTTCCGACCTTCTTCGACCTATTCAACATTTCCTCTGGATAACTTGCTACACTCCCTACCACTTTTTACTTATTATTACTATTAGAATATCAGCTTTAGTTACTCTTACCCACTTATATCTACTAACATCAAGACATCATGCTTCAACAAACTTTACGCAACCTGATCTTGATCATCTCTGCTGCTGCTATTTCAGCCAGGTCATTGCACGAATTTGCTCCAATAATCCCTTTGCAACAAGGACGCTCCCACTTCAAAGAGGGTGTCTTGATACCACAAGGCTTTCCGGCCAGCCTAGAGTCAATTCCGACTTCCACAGTCGCCGCAGCCTCAACCATTCGTGCGAACATACCATCAAATCGAAGAGCGAAGAAATTGAACGCTCGTCACGGTATCGTTCCTACCCCGGTCGTTCATGCAAATGTGGAGATCTGCTTGGATCTATCTATCACTGTGCTTGGTATCCCCATTATTGACCTCAGAGCCGTCTCCGGACTCACTGCAAGCATCAGCTCCCATGGAATCTCGGCCCAACAGCTTGCCGTCGTCCAAAGCTCTGTACTCGTAAGTTTCGGTCCCATTCACAGTGATTTGCAGCGTGTACACTTGAAAAATGTTCACTGATACGTTTTGATCCGCTTGGTAAATAGTCCCAGTTACAAGCTTCAGCCCGCCTTGCCTCATCGGCTTACGCATGTTCTTCAGCATGTGATTCTAGTAGTAAGTTTTTTCCGCTTATACTTTATCTCGGCAACCGTTCCTCTATCATAATCTAAGCTTTTCATCCCGCTCTCCATAGTTTGTCAATCATCTTCGTTTGATAAGAAAAATAAAGCCTGCACCCTTACACCAAAGCAATTGTCACCGACCTCCAGTGTGCTAGGAAGTTTGATTGGAAACTTGGCCTTACAAGGATCAGGCTCGTCAGACTACTGTAGCCTATGTCGTAAGTCATCTAAGTAATAGTTATAATCTTTAGTTCAAGTATCCATGATTTGATTTCTTGTTGTTTGATTTTAATCGTCTCACAGCTAGCAAATGTGCTGCCACCCCTTCCGCTCGTGCACGCCGTGTAAAACGTAGCCAAGTAGCCTTGGGACTTTGCCCGGTTGGCTTAAGCGGTAAGAATGATCTCATCACATATCATCAACCAGTGACATAATACTCAACATGGTTTCAATATCTTTTAGCTTGTCCCATCAGCCCATTCTCTTCTTCCAAAGGCTATGAATGTATCGATACCCATGAAGAGATTGAGTAAGTTGTTATTCTTTATATTTCACTGCGATCTTCCCTACTGACCAAACGACTCCTTTTTAGATCATGTGGTGGATGTTCTACCACTGGTGAGGGTATCAACTGTAATACAGTACCTGGTGTGAAATTTGCGGGATGTGCCGCTGGTCAATGCTTAGCTTGTACGTTTAGATCTCACTGAATATCTCTTGAGACTCTTATCGTTTAACTGACTCTGGTCTTCATTTTCTTCCTTCTCTGGTCTGATACAGTCTCTTGTGAGAAGGGCTTCAAGTTAACTGCCGACCAGACATGTGTCGCAGCGACTACATAAACTTTTCATGATTTTTTATTCCTTTTTGGTTTTCAATTCGTCATTCTTTAGTAGTCTTGAACTAAATCTCTCTTTCTTCTTATGTTTTTTTGGGATGTCTTTGTTGTTTTCGTAAATTGTGTTGTCTTCGGTTTGGAATCATTAGGTTTTTTTATGTGTGATCTTGTTTGGTTTCTATTCTGTGGTTGAGTCCGACTAGTTTAGTCTTTGTCGCGATGTCGACTTTATCTTCCACTCATTTTAAGTTTGTTGGATCGTTTACATATTAAGTGCATCTCGCTCTTGTGTTGTCCAACTCCTATACTTGCTATATTTCCATTATTAATTTGATTTGGATTTATTACACGCGAGATTGAGACGATCTGGAACTCTTACCCTATGCTTCCCCTTTGATGACATCCCATATTTCGGAGAAAGGGGGTGTTTGATGATGATATCCGTCATTCTTTGCCCTCAGAAGTCTGGCTTCAACCGTGCGATTGCATACTCAATGCGGCTGCAAACAAACTAGGATCTGGTCTTATCAACCGCAAAACCTATGAAGTGGTATTGAGTGCGCCTTTTTCGTACTCCCGAAGATCTATCCGAATCAAAACCCAATTAGTGAGATTGTGCATCACGTCTTGATCACTCAATCCTTGGCCGCAAGGCTCCTCCTTGGATAGGCCAAAGAACTTGGGTTGACTTTGAACCTAATTAACGTCACAGCGGGAAAAAATGACGTCTCATCCCCAGCTTTTGTCCTTTCAGACGTGTCAAGAGTCATTTTGATGTACAAACGGCGCTACATAGTACAAAAATATCGCATTTAGATATCTTGTTTGTCATGTTATATTATTATAATTCTTCTTATTCCAGAGAATTTCTTACAAGGATATCAACCAGCTTATCGGCCATTCAGTTTTCTCTCTCATGAGTTTATTTTCATTCATTGATGGCTTCTTGTGTTAGATCTCCTGATGTGACTCGTAGTCAATCTTCAGTGATGATTTAAACGTTTCAGCCTTACAGGAAGTGATGAAACCAATAAAATCCAACCAAGTACGTAACTCTTCAACCGTTTTCCGTTTTTCTCTTCCAACAAACTGAAAATCTCACCGAGGATTTGATCGATTGAAAGAACCTTGTGATTCTACCCCGGACCCCTTGCACGTGACCTGTCACACCAAGAGAAGCTCGTTATAAAGGTCTGTGTGAGAGATCGTTTTCGTTTTATTGTATGGCTCAAATTTCTCTGCTTTTGGGTTTGGAAAGACAACTTTGAATATGTCTTGCAGATGTCCAGTTTTCTAATCTGCACAGCACCGCTTGATTCAACTTGGTAGTTTTGGCAACTTGTGTCCAAAACCTAGGCATTTTCTCTGTGATCTGACCCACCGACACATCTCAAGGCACACGAATGGTTAATTTGAGTGAACTCTTGGGATCTGTTTCGTTGACATTTACAAGACGCTCAAAAACAGAGTAGCATGACAAGAATCGAAACAATTTTTGGTACACAATTTTTTGATCGTCGGATCATACAGTAAGAGAATGAAACCTATTTTTGCGGAGTTTGTTAAAATTTTGATCTTCAGATCATACAAAGAGAAGGGAAGAAACGGTGCTTCTGAATCGAAGACGCCAAAAACAGGAAGAAGGTAGATGAAAGGGGTATCGAAGATACAAGGAAGTCATCAAGTCGACATCAAATCAAAGATCCAGTTGTGTGGAATCTAGTAGAAAGAGATGTGGAAGCGGTCAAGATCATTGGCCTGTGGTTTGGGTGTCTACAGGGTCAGTGGTAGTTTTGGCATCAGGCTTTTCAGTGGGAGTCTGAGTTTCTGGCTTCTTGGGGGCAGTCGAGGTGGTTGGCTTCTTGGTGGCGGTAGGATCACTATCAGCTGACTTGGTAGACGAGGCATCGGATTTCTTGGAGTCTGAGTCACTAGAAGCCTTGATGTCAAAAGAGGGCTTCTTGCCTGCGGGAAACTTGCTAGCAGCAAGTTGCATGAAAGCCTCGTGAGTGGCACGAGCACTTTTGCGTTGGTCACTTTGGTCAAGGGTTTGTTGTAAATGATGGAGAAGTTGAGCGATCTCGTCTGCAGTAGGTAAACTTCCACCAGCCATCTTAGCTTCGGCGAATGCTTTGACCATCTTCAAGAATCCATTGGCAAATCTTCGGACATCAGAATCTTTGAATTTAGGAGCTTCAGCTGTTGAACCTGAAGTTGAAGCAGTCATTTCTTGACGAGTACTGAGCCTAAGATAGTGTACAATTCGACAGCTGAGATGAATAAAACAAGAGACTAACTTTGGGGCGGAGTCAGACTTTGGAGCCGAATCAGACTTTGGGGCAGAGTCGGATCCAGAAAGCTTGCTTTCAGCAAGACCATCAATAGCCGCTTTGGTCGCTTGTGCATGAGCCACAGGATCGTCCCCTCCTTCTTTCATCGCTTTCTTCAAGGCGGCAGTAAGCTCACCACTAGTTGGCATCTTTTTACCAGCTTCTGCGACTTTTGAGTATTTAGCAATCGTGTCAGCCAAATCCGCCGAGAGTCTTTTGATGATGATATTGACCAGAAAAGGTGGAACTTTTTGTTGCTGTTGTGATTGTTGTCCGACTTGTCCGACTCCCATCATGCGTTTCTCGAAGCTGAAGAGTGTGGTATTTCAGTCAGAATGGAGCATTTGAAAGTTGGAATCTAGAAATATCTATGACATACCTTTTGCCTGTAGCTTCATTCGATGAAGCAAACCAGTCAGATTGACGTTTGTACATCACACTGTTACACCAACGAGAAGTCGTGGAAGAAGGGGTCAGTGGTTGGATGATTATAAATGTATGACAGGAGAGGTTGCGCACTTGGAGTTTGCCTGCATGGCACCAGCTGTTGCTCCCTCTAGCATAGCAAAGGCAGAGATAGCGACGGTGACAAGAGAAAAAATGGAAAGCATTTTGTAATGGAGACGAAGTAGGTGGAGTTTCAAGTTGGATGAAAATTTATCACAGATGTTATCAACAATCAAAAAAAGAAGTTCGAATGATATAGTCCAGCCAGGTACTAAGAAGTCAAGTGATGCGAAAACAAAAGAACTATGCTTGTTGCTTGGGAAGAGGTGATGTGGAATGATGATGGTAGAAGACTAACACACCTGTGACTTTTTATAGGTTTGAAAGTGGTGTTCAATTTGCACTAATAGCACCAGTGAGCAACGTGATGTCCTTCGTGCCACCAGACCTAGCGCGCAAAGTTCGTAAAATGGGTCCAGCCTGTCATCAGAAGGGTACCCTGTTGAAGAAAGTGACATGGGTCTACTGCGTTAGTGCCTTGAGGGAGCATCGAAGTCATCAGCATCAATCGACGGCTGTTCAAGTTGGGATCGAATTACTTCATCTTCCCAGGAGAACCCACGTTGAGGAAAGAATCATACTCACTTCATTTAGTAACTGGTATCGAGCATGATACTCGGACGAAAGTAATTATGAGTATTGCTTACTTGGTCCGAAAACCCTGTTACCCACATTCACTTCAGACAGGCTGACCACTTGAATATCAAATGTGCCCTTCTTACCCTTGAAATTGAGCACATATTTAGAGCTCAATATTCCGATCTACATCTTGTAATCTGGAGTTCATTAAAGGAGGCAAGACCAAGTCAAAGACGTGGGCAGACCTTACATCGCAGTGACGATCGCAGTCTTTTGAATCAACACGTTAGAAGTACGCACACTGCTCGAGGAGACATGGAGGAGTTTCGAGACGATGTTCTTTGTACAGTCAATTTCATAAAGGTTGAAATCGAGGTTTTTTGAAAATCGAGAGGTGGACCGTGCGCCACCTGTGACAGGTCTCAAATATGCATACCAAAATGCTGACATAGACAGTATAGACACATTCACTCAAAAGAACCTCTGGCACATGGTTGGATGAATGCCCTCTACATGGGTATGCACACCCTCACAAGGCGCACATTTTTGAGTTCGAGCCCGAGTGACTTTCTTTTATGTCATCACGAGTTTTGACAAGTTTTTCATATTTGCTTTGCTTGTTGTCATAAACTAAAAGAATGGGAAAGCTATGCTGGTTTTGGTTGCTCGCATTTGCTTGTTGCCATTTCATCGTTGATTCTAGGCAAAAAAACGGTGGTAAAAAAGATAGGGCAATGAGTCAAACACGGGAGTCACATCAAAGTTGCACCACCCAATCACAGCTCTTGACCACTGCGCCACCAAACAATTGAACAGTTGGGGTTGTTGAAAGTCTTGCTACTGTATGTTCATCGATCTGGTATGCATATTTGAGACCTGTCACAGGTGGCGCATGGGCCACCTTTCGATTTCCAAAAAACCTCGATTTCAACCTTTATGAAATCTACTGTAACTTTCTTCCCAGAAATGACACTCTCCCTTAACGTATGCAAGTTCTTCTCAGTCTACTACGTTAAATCTGCTTAATAACACAAGCCCTCAAAAAAAAAGCCCTCTCTGCGCCAAACTTAACAAAGTCCCTTGCCAGAGGCCCGAGCCCCAGCGAGGGACTTACCGCATGAACTGGAATCCTGGCGTGAGAAGTGAGCTGTATTTGCTCCAAATTCTCTACATCTGTTTGTTTTTTTCTCTCTCAATAAACATGTCTTGCAACAAAGAAAGAAGAAAATGGCAAGGGACCATTACATATGTACCACTTGCAACCTCCTTTCTATCTTGCTGGGAAGTTATCTTTTTGAGTAGTTGAAGATCAATCATTTTGACCGCTTTCTGAGAAATACAGGCTTTGAGCCGGCTCGCTGCTGCTGAAAAATGAAAACAGACCCATTTTTGATTCCCCAGTAGCCCAAGTTCCAGACCAGATTTAGGGGAGCTTGCAATTGGCTCATATGTAATGAATATTTGCCATCATCCTTTTGCGTACCTCCAAGACCTGTTTATTTAGGAACAAATCAAAGAATGCAAAGTAGTGTTTTTTGAGCCAATACAGGCTACTTCTCGCACCAGGATTCCGTTTTATGCAGTAAGT